CACAGTTCGGCGGAAGGGAGACCCAGAAATCAGGAACTCATTAAACGTTGGAGCATGCTACTAAATTAGGGAGGCAGTCAGTATTACCTGCCCTCTCTGGTATTCTGCTTTGTGTACTCCTTGCTCAGACTACACCAGGGCACTTGTCCCATTTTCTTAGGGCAGGAAAGGCAGGACTGCTGAACTCTGTGGACACAGTGTGCAGAAGCCGGTGGCAGGAGAAGCAGAGTCGATGCAAAGAGGAACAGATCATTGTGTACATGCTGCGTGCAGGGTGCCCTGCGAGCATCGGAAAACACCGGTGCGCAGCACGCAGTTTTCCACGGAGGAAGCATGGGGCTTTCTGGCCTTGCCTGCTCCTTGCCCCTCCCCACTGCCTAAAGGAAATCAAAATATGCAAACCAGGAAACATGCCATTTTATTAGTTACCACTTAGAAGTCTGTGTAATTTACACCAGGCAGCAAATTTTATTTTTAATGTTTTTAGCAGCCTTGGCAGCATCCTGATTCATAGGGTTCCTGTGAGGGAAAACCAGAGCAATTTTTCTTCTGTATAAGTGTTTATTTATTGGATCTATTTTGATGCAGAAGGAGTGTACTTAAAATACAACTAAACTGGAGCTTTTCCATCCCAACTAGTATTAGTATGCCTGGATTGCCTGGATACAGACTAGCTGGCCCCTGTCTCTCCTCCTTCCAGATTTATACTTGATTGCCTGCATGGCCGAATGTTTCTTACTCTCTCCAGACCTTCCCTGCTGCCCCAGAATGGGGGCAAACATAGTGGGAGTAAGCAGTTAGCTCAAGATGTAAAGGCACTTAAATCCTTCAGGAAGGGCAAATTCTCTAAAGCTCCAACCTGGTGTGTTTTCTTCACTGCAGTTTCCTGGGAATAATCACAGTGGTGACGGCTGCAGGAAAAAAACAAGCACCTTAGAAGACTAATACATTTTATTATGGCATTTCATGGCCTAGAGCCCACGTTATCAGATACGCTGAGTGCGATCCTCAGTTGTCGTGTATGTGTGCAAATGGGTGTAAAGTGTGTGGGGGAGAGAATGTAAAGGTTGGAATTAAATGGCAATAGAATAGAAAAAGTACGATCTGTGACAATTCAATTAGAGCTTAACCGTATGCAAAATGACCCTTCTCAGCAGCAGCAGTAATTGGGGACTTTCTGGTGCAGGCTAGCTTGGCAAAGCACACAGTCAGAGTTGTGCTGCCTTTCACAGCACTGGGGGAAATACATCCATTGCTGACGGGGAAGCGCGAGGACGCTTACAGTTTGCCTGCAGAACAAGATCTCTCAAGAGAGGACAAGAGCTGGCCCTTGGAAATGGGAGAGGAACCTGAGGATTCCTCCAGAAACCCCCAGCTGCCGCTTCTAAAAGCGATGTTCTGGTTTCAAGAGGATCCACCTCGGTGAGTCCAGAAATTCCAGACTGCTCTGGCAGCGTGTCAGCTCCTCTGATTCAAGGGTGCTGCCTAGGCTGTGGCAGGAGAAATGCCACACGTTCCCAGACAGGGCAGATTAAAAGGAAGGCTGAATTGGCTTGCAACACTGCCAACGGGGCAAGCTTGTAGTTGCTTTCATTGTCTGAAGCTACAATTGGCATGAAATAGGCATGCAGGGATTCCTTTCAAGTAACCAACAGCCTGATGGGAAATGTAGTTTCTTGATGCCAAGGTGCTGAAACTACTGTTTGCTTTGCTTTGCTTTGCCTTGCTGTTTTGGTTTGGTTTGGTTTGTTTTGGTTTGGGTGAAACACTATAGAACTGCTACCGAAAACAAGAGCAGCTTGTTCTCTTTTTTTTTTTTTTTTTTTTTTACTGTCTTGGCTTTACATAAATGTATTAAAAGGTTCCTGAAGTGGCCATCTGTTTGAATAAGCTAGGAATGCTGTGTTGGAACAAGAAGAAGAAAATCACGAAAAGGAGCCATGGAAAATGGGGGATTAATAGATTTAAATGGGGTGGGGGAGGAGATGGCATGTTGCGAGAAGATCACAGAACTATGACCTGCTTGCTCCATCCAAGACTGTCGGACAAGAAATACTGGGCTTGAGTTAAAGGAAGGCAGATCTCATGAGAACATCACAAAAAGAATCCCAGCTGTTCAACAACAACAACAACAACCCAGACATCACGCTTAAGCCACCTTCCAAGTGACCCGTCCATCCATTATCCTGCCCCATTAGCCATCAGGCTCCTGGTTGGGGTACATACAAAAATTTGTATACCTACACAGTTGGGCTTGTTTGTGGAAAAGCCCACGCGGGATGGTGTAACTGGCGTCCTGCAGCGGCAGGGGCCTGGACCCGATGGCCGTCATGGCCCCTTCCGACCGTACTGTTCTGTGATTCTGATTCATGGCAGAACCCGTCTTATCTCCTCTGCCCAGCTCTACCCATTTTAGTTTGCCACCATTTTTTTTCAGGGCCTGGAAAATGGCAATTGGCGTTTTTAAAAACGTTTTTCGGCCCCTGAAAATTGTGCAAATATGTGTGTTTGTCATGCACAAGTGTGCCCTTAACCTATCAAATTTGTGCAGTATTGGCTGGTCAATTTCCTTGTCCATCTCAGCTACCAGAAGACTCAGCAAAGTTGAGGTGGCAACAGACTGGTTAAGATGAGGATGCAGATTGGCTCATCCTGCACCCAGTTGCCCAAAAAGCTCCTGCAAGGGGAAAAGCAGCGGGAGCAGGTGCACCAAAACAGGTGGGGATGCGATATTTCACCTGGCAGTGTCCTCTCCTTGTCAAACTGACCCTTCTCCGTGCCCACCTCCTTTTCAACACTTCCCTAGATGCAGCCCCATTGACTCAGACCCATGGAGCTGCCTCATCGGTTATTTAATTGTGAGGTTCTGCAGTAACCACAGCAGTAAATACTTTGAAGATTGGGGAAGTCAACAGTTCAGTACTGAAAATGTGCAGTCTGTCACGTTATCTGAACCCAGACAACATGGCTTGCTGTCTGATCCCAGGCAGGCTTCCAATAACTTAGGGGTTGCTGTAGGGTTATTGGAGGAGTGCAGCCATTTTCAACAGACTTCAGACAACACAAGAAGCCTCACCGGAATGATCACGAAAATCTGGGCTTGCGGGTGCTGTGGTATGAATAGACCTTGGTAACTTGTTTTGATCAAGTGCACCAGGTCAATGCATCTCCAGTTACTGTACAATGCTCCTGTCTTCGCCGTATTAGACCAAGTTCATACAAACAGAAGGGCACTGAAGGGGCTTTCTGAATGGTACTATATCAAACCATAGAATTGGAAGAGGTCGATAAAGCCATCAGGTCTAACCCCCTGCTCAGTGCAGGGCTCCAAGTAAAAGCATCCTTGGCAGATGGCTGCCCAGCGGCCTCTTGAATGCTTCCAGGGTGGGAGAACCCACAACTTCCTAGGTCATTGGTCCCATTGCAACTGCTCTGGTAGTATGGAAGTTTTTCCTGATGGAATCTGGCTTCCTGTAACTTGAGCCCATTATTCTATGTTCTGAACTCCAGAACTGAGAAGAGACCTTGGGCTTCCTCTTTGTGACCACCTTTCAAGAGTTTGAAGAGTGCGATCATATCTTCCCCAAGTCTCCTCCAGGAGAAACATGCCCAGTGCTTCCAGTCACCCCACATAAGACTTTGTTTCTGGTCCTCTGATCATCTTTTCCGTCCTCCTATGAAACTTTTTCAGTTTATTTCAAGTCTGGTGCCCAGGGCTTGATGAAGTCCTCAAGATGAGGGCTAACCAGTGCTGAGCAGAGGGGAAAGAGTGCATGATCTGGAGGCGATGGTTCTATTCACACCACCCAACATGACACTGGCCGTTTGTGTAGCCGCACCACGTTGGTGACTCACCACCTTGTGATCTCCCAAAATTGCAACACCGCTTGCAGCGTTCCTGAGCCCATACCGAGTATCGCATACCCCATCTTGCAACTATGCATTTGGTTTCTTCTTCCTAGGTGCAGAATTTGCATTTGTCCCTACTGAATTTCATCCTACTGATTTCACCCCAGTGCTCCAGCCTATCAAAATTGCTTTGAATCTTGTATGTCTTCCATCCCAAACTGTTTTGTGTCACCTGCATACTTAATAAGCTCCCTACACTTCCTCATCCAAATCATGAATAAAAACGTTGAAGAGCGCTGGAACCAAGACCAACCTCTGTGGTACCCCACCTGTTACCTCTCCCTAGTTAACTTCTGGCTGTTAAGCATGGGAAATAATGTGAATTAAAATGCTGGCCATATCACCTGTCACCTAGAAAAAGTAGATCTTCAGGGGGAACAGTTCTAGCATAGCCCTGCACCCCAAATATCTTTGTTCTCTTTGTGGACAGAATCTCCACACCTCTCAAGCCACACAAATTATCTCCTTTCAGTACAAAGTGGTACAACGCAGGAACAGTTCCCACCACCTCTGTACACACACACACCCCCACTGGCTGTGTGAACTAGGCCTTTGCCATGGCAACAGAAGTGGAAGTGACTCTCCGACACCGAATGCACCAGGACAGCTGCACCAGTCTCAGGTTATCATTATTTAAAGGCCGAGTCAAGTAGCACCTTTGAGACTCATTTTAATAGCGCATAAACTTGCACAGACTGCAACCTCCTCCTTCAGATGTCAGAGTTGTTGGCAGCAAGCGAGAGAAGGCAGCTAACAGGATGTCCTCTGACAGGGGCAGCCCCGTGGAGGGACAGAGGGAGTGGCTGCTTTCCCCCCCGTGAGCTCACCTGCTAAGTATCAGGAAGGACCTGACGCTTGGCCCGGATGTACGACGTCTGTGAACCCTGATGCCATTCATGAAGGAAGGCCAGGCTCTGACTACCGTTTGCAGAAGCTGTCCAGACACTTCTGCAAAACAGGGGCTATTAAGGAGAAAATGTACCACTCCAGATGCCCAGGGCAGCTCATTTGCTGTGGGAGGACTGAAGCAATTAATTGGGAATGCAAAACGCCCCGCACACAGCAGTGACATGGCATTTGCTCAGAGCACCTCCAAAGATCACACATCGTTTATTGCAAACCGACCCATCATTAATACAGAAAATAGAATTAAACTCTCATTCAGCTTTCTCCGGCGGCCACTTGGGCTGGAAGGCAGTGTGGTGACGACCTCGGAGAGACCCGGTCCCGCGAAGGCAGGCCTCAGGGGCCAACACGACCTCAGCAGCAATGGGCTCCCATAGCAGCGGCTCCAGGCAAGGCTGAAATGGAGCAGGGAGGGCCGGATTAGGTACTTGGAAACAGAATTATACATCTGGGTTCTCCTGTGAATGATTCCGCACAACTTTAAATTGTAAGCTGGTGGATTTATTTTTAATTTTAATGATTATAGGCACTTTATAACTAAAAATCAGGGCTGCATATCAGGGAGTCGAACCATTAAACAATTGAGTTCATTTCCAGTCCAGGATCATCAGAGCTCAAAACACTCCGGTTTGGTTCAGCCAGTCAGATCAGGGACATAAATTCTTAAAATTGCAGTGGTAACTCCTATAAAAGATATACAGTAAAATTTAACTCGATCTTTTTAAAGCATGCATTTTAAAATGCACTCTGAGCATGGGCAAATGTCACATTCCGCCAAAACTCTTATTCGAGGCCAAATAAAACTGATGAAGTCAAAAATCCATTTGGTCCAAGCATTTTGTCAACATTTAACTTGCACAGCAGCAAAGAACACACACTTTCAACTCCTTTGAATTTAAAAACAGTATGTTCGCATATGTGGGCGCATGCATACACATTAACGTACTTTATAATTACCATCTCTCCTGGCAAAGAACAGCAATTATTATGCCATTATAAAGATCTATTATTCACCACGTTTGGAACATTCTGTACATTTCTCATTACACAGTGTGAAAATCCAAGGCATCCTCATGTAGAAGTAAGTCAAAGTCACAAGTATAGTAACCTTCTCCCATCTGGTGCCTTCCAGATGCGCCAAACTATACACAGCATCCCCAGACAGAATGCATTGGTTGGTTGGATGCTGGGCACTGTAGTCCAGCAGAACTGAAGGGCACCAAGTTGAGGAAGGTTGGTGAACAGCACTGGCCTGTGAAGCGACTTTTGTGCCCCCTCTTGAAAGGAAAACAACAAGTGCTGAAACAAGGGGACAGGGACTGACACAATTACAAACTGCTGGATTGTGCAGGTCCTTTGTTGCTTCTCATGCAGTTTCAGAATCTGGGGGCATTGCCAATTATTGGCTGTGGGTTCAATACAAATGCAGCAGTCACACCCCACCTCCCCTAGTAAATAGCTGAACTATAGTGCCGGAAAAATTGATGTTGACTAGTTAGCCAGCTTAAGAATTGGAAAAATCCATGGGCAAGAGGCCTTTCGCAGGGTATCTCCCATAATCACGACAGGGAACCACCACGTTTAAAGGCAGTATCTCTTTTAATACCAGATGCGTGGAACAGAACGGGATGGCGATTACCTTCGTTCCCCGCTTGAGAGCTTCCGAGAGGCAACTGGGTTACTGCTGCTGGAGGCAGCGCTGGACTTGATGGAAGCGGGTCTTCTCCAGCAAGGCAGTTCTTGTGTTCCTTATTTTCACTTTTCAGGAGATGAGGGACTCAATGATCAAAAGAAGCCAAAGGGCAGCCAATAAGTTCGCAGCCTTTGCTCTTGATCAAGCCTCTTTTGTTGCCTGGAGCTCCCATACCCAAATGCTAGAAAAGGCAACCCGAATGCAGAACTTGTTCTCCTTTGCTCTTGCTTCCTTCTTTACAGGGCAAAGAGACACCCTTAGCTCTCCTTAGATGGAGTTTGAAGCTCTTTTTGTGCAATTCTGCTTCTGGTTTAAGGCAGCAGATCTTAGGTTTAATTTCAGAAGTGATCAGCAAAAAACAACTCACTGCCAATACGCCATCTGGGGTCCTGGTTGGTTCGACTTCCTGCTATGTATGGACCTCAACCACCAGGAAAATTTGATTTCTATGCTCATCAAACACAGACAGATCAAGCAAATTTGCACATTTTTTTCCTTTGACATAGTCCATTTCGTTTCCGACATCCTGGTCTTCAAAAGAACACAAAGCATATTGGCAAGGACTGGAAGAAGGGTGAGGTGGGCCAATGGGCGATGGCGACCAGGAATAGCAGCTGCAGAGAATAAACTGTGCAGGCACCACAGGTGTTTGGGCAGGTCAGAACAGCTCCCCTGCCCCCTTTGTCCAGCGAGCACTTGGGACAGTCTTAGTCTTTCATAACAATTTGCAGTAGGAAGAGCTGGAAACTGGGGCTGTTATGTTAAGTGAGCCAAACATTCTTTAAAGTTGTGGGCGTCTAATTATGGGGGCACAATTACATCAGACTGTAACCCTCATATCAACCAACCCTCTAACTGAGAACCCTTGTAGCTTTTCTCTGATGGGATGGATGTCCCTTCCACCAAGACATCTGAGGTTCTGCCACTTCACTTATATGCAAGAAAGTACAGAAAGCTCTAGGACGTGACCAAGACAAAAAGCTAAATTTGCTCTCTGCCAATTCCCATCTTACTGAATAAGCCTGAGATTTGTTTCTTGTTGCCATAGGAGTGTGAGAAAATGTCGGGATGTGCAAGTTTAAATATTACAAAAAGGAAATGGATTTGCCGCCCGAGGAGTCAAAATATGCTTAAAGGTAAACCAAAAAGCCTTTAAGTCTGGAAAAACAGGCCTCAGAAGTTTGCAAGCGATCACCAGGGGGTTCATTGCCCTGTGCAGCTCTTTGCCAGCTCCCTGGAAAAGGAGAAGCAGCTCTACCAGACTGCAGGAATGCAAATCTGCTTATCTTGCACTTGGTACAGCATTCAGCTTCTTTAGCATTTCTCTGTTAAAGCTCGTGCAACAGTAGCATCTTTAACCCTTTCCTTACCAAAACCACGTGAGGATTCAGATCAGCCCGCTCTCCTTGAGCTTTGCAACTAGATCATCCACTGTCTCCACTTTGACACCAGCCTGGCGCTGGGGAGGGTCTTCCACGCTCAGGGTTTTCAGCCGCGAGGTCAGGTCCACACCAAGATCAGATGGCTTCACCACCTCAATCTTCTTCTTTTTGGCTTTCTGGGAAAAGGAGGAAAAAATCAGGGTACATTTAAGCTGTCCTTGACCTATAGGAATCGGGGGCATTTGCCCCTCTGCCGTATTTATCATCACTGCTTGCTGATATACTGAATGCCAAAACTGTTTGAGGAATTTCAGTCTTCTGTAAATTTGGCTCCTAGAACCCTATACTGCTAGCTCTTATGGATGCAGAGGGAGCCCCAAATGACCAAAGGGAAGACCTACAGGCCACTTAACAGCAACTGGTTTGTTTCAAGTTAGAGTGGCTTAGGCTCTAGAGAGCCTGCTGTACCCAGCAAGGAGCACCCACCAAATGGTGTCAGGATCATACCATGATATTGGGCAGGGTGGCATAGCGTGGCTCATTCAGTCGCAGATCCGCGGTGACAACTGCTGGCAGCTTCAAACGCACCGTCTCGAGGCCCCCATCAACTTCACGCTCAACCTTCAGCCAGTCCCCATCCACAGTCACTTCTGAAGCAAACGTCCCCTGCAAAGGGGAGAGCAGGGCTGCTAGACTAACACTCAGTGCAAACACTTATTTTTTTCTTTAAAGCATCTTCTCAAGCCAGAGTTCCTGAAGTCAATATGAGAGCCAGCATGGTGCAGTGGTTAAGAACGTGGGACTGGGATTCAGGTGACCTGGGTTCGAGTCCCTGCTCAGCCATGGAGCCAACTGGGTGACTTTGGGCCAGTCACAGACTCTCAGCCCAACCTACCTCACAGGGTTGGTGTTGTGGGGATAGGATGGAGGAGGAGATGTAAGCTGCCTTGAGCCCTTTGTAGGAAAAAGGCAGGATATAAATCCAAAAATGAATAAATAAAATAAATATGGAACTGTGCTAGCTATACAAACACTTTGAGGCATTGCACAGCTTTTCAAAAACAGCCTGAACCCAGGGAGCCGAGAGTGATGAAACAGTCTAGGCGACAGGCAGAGCACAGGCAGTGGAAGTCTGCACACAAAGAAGAGTGCATGAGTATGCACATTCCATGGCAGGGAAAGGGCTTATTCCACGGCCTCCATCACACCTGAGTAACTGCGCAGGGGAGCTACTCAGGTGGTGTGTGGCTGCTGGCATTGGCACCCCTGGAACCTGAGCCCCTGGGGCCCCTCCTTCTACTGTCCTCCCTTTCCTGGTAACCCATTTGATTCCCACATGGGTACCAGAGAGAAGTTAATGCTCTGTTGCACTCTGCACGCCTCCTCATCTGCATGCAGTTTCCGGAGGCCTGCAGCTAATAGCTGTCCGACAGAAGTAAGGAACTATTCATTAATATTGCCTCCCTTACTGGAACATCCCCGTGGCAAGAAAAACAGTTATGCACATTTGACCAAGACACAGCTGGAAGTTCAAACGTCATACTGCCACTGTGGTCCATCGTCAGGACTTGCTGTCCTCGGGGATGCCATTCCGCGTAAGGAAGCTTCCCTGATGGGCTACCTCCCTGAAGGGCTAACCTCTTCTCTGCCCATCACTTCCCACTGCTTTCTCCCAACTGCCCCATGTAGTACCTGAGGCCAGTCAAGAAACGCTGCGGTCATCTGTCCAGTCTGGTTACAGTCGTCATCAATGGCCTGGAAAAGCAGAAGCAGGACAGAGGTCACACAAAGGACCAGAAAGCACATCTGCCTTCCAGCATGCCTGGCGGAAACCCTTCTGCTTTCCCCACCACAAGGGAAAGGACATACCCAGAACCCTGTCCTGTGAGCATTTCCTAGGACTCTACACGGATTAACTCGGGCCAAAGAAGGCCAGACTTTCCAACAGCCACAGCCAAACACACAACTGGACAAAGGGTATCGAGAGTCATGGGCTGGCTGCACTGCAAATACTTCTTGGGGAAGGGTTAGACTCTGCAGGGTCACCTAGGGTACCACATGTGGCCAGCTTGGCTGCTCAGTGATGCCAAAACCTTCCTTTTGGCTCTCCCCTCTGAACCAGACCTGCTACCAGCCACGGCATGGCACAGGAGCAATGGTCTTTTTGCTAAGTCCCAGCCTCTGCTAAATTAGATCCCATAGCCTTTAGGTCCAGAAGCAGAGGCCTTAGAAGTTAATGCTAAGAAAGAAGCAGAACTGCCTGACATTTCATTCCTCCTTCTAGCAATTCCCGACTGGCTCTCAACCTTACTTTCTATTTGGCTGGGAGCCCAACAGAAACCTTCCTGGATCAGCTTCAGCCTAGGCATTGTTGGCAGCTTGCTATTTACAAGTAAGACCTGTGTTCTTTTCAGTCTGATGCCACATAGATTAGACACTCCCCAGTTTGACATCTGGCTTTCTTTGCCTACCCCTTGCTCTCCTGCATTTGCTCATCAAATAACGGTGGTCATGCTTCCTTGATTGTGTTAACCTTCTTGTACTGAAAGCAGCGGGAGAAGCAGGGGTTCTACCCAGCCGAGACTCCAGCCTTGGTGCCACATGCATATAAGCTGCAGGCTGTTCAGACGCCGGCCTGACCAGCACGGGAAAGCAAAGACACCAGCTGGCTGTGTGTTTCCTCCTTTGATATTGACCGAAACCCTAACAGCTTCAGTGAGGCTCAAATTCATGAGGTTACCAAGCCTGTTAGGGTTTCCTAGGCTGTGCACAGCCCACCTCCTCCAGCTGCTCTTACCTGCTTGCCCAGAAGCAAGAGGTTGACACCCTCCTTCTTGGCCAAGGCGGCCAGGATCTTTGACACTACGAAGGGGCCGAGGCTCTCGTAGTCCTTTGCAGGGATCTCCACGTGCAGCCCCCGGTCAGCCCCCATCGCAAGGGCCGTGCGGATTGTCTCCTGGGGACACAACCATTGTTAGAGCCAGCCTTGACACGGCAGAATTGCATTCCCCAGAGTGGGACCGGTTAAAAAATAGCCTGCCTTCCCTTGGAGGGATAGCAGCCCAAGGGCTGACAGCTCTCTGCCGTCCATCCACTCTCCACTTTGGTGCTGCCACTAGCAGGTGGCTAATGCCACGGATACCAGTCTGGAACTGGAGCCTATCTGATTTGGGCTAAATTGTCATATTGGCCCTTAACCAAAAGCAGCACAAGGCATTTCTATTTCTAATGAGTTTTGACAGTCAGTGATAAGCAAAGCTAAGGAAAAACGGCTGTCATACTGTATCAGCCCTGAGCTGCAGCACGGGAAAGGCTCCGCATCCAGTCGAATGAACAAATCAATCCCCAGATATTTGGGGCTGTAACTCCCAGCATTCCTCATGGAGACTGTAGTCCAAAACACTTGGAGGCCACAAATATCGCCTCGCCCTCACCTTTCTCTTTAGAGGCCTCGGACAGTCGCCGGCTGGGCAGCTTCATTTTGTCAAATGAGAGCATTAGCCCCTCTCACAAGGCCGTAGCTTGTTCTACACGCATCACATATTTCTGCTAAGGCACCCAAGGCAGCACACACAGAAGCATCCGGTTTTATCTTCACAAACGCCCCACGCAGTGGGTCAGGTCGGGAGATAACGGGATGCCTGGGGCCACAGACACCCTCACTAATCAAGAACTTGAACTTGGGTCTGCCAGGCCACAGGGGACGCTGCCGTGGCTCTCTCGCAGCTGCCGTCTGCAGAGCACTGATACTGTACAGGGAGGGCTGGAAGTGATTCCGAGTCTCTTGTGCTCTGCAGTGTTATATGGCTTACCAGGAACACCCTCTGCCATCCCATCCCATCCCGTCCCTTTGCAAAGCCCTCTGTCTGCCTGGTCCTCCTGAGCTGCTTCGCTACGGTGGAAGGGAGGGAAGTGCGACCTCGGCATGGATGCCGGGGAGTGGTGAGTAGGAAGCAGGAAGCTGCTCCCCTGAGAGAACCCTGCGCAATGCAGGAACTGTGCTGGGGAACAGCAGTGCCAAAACAAGCAGTGCGCGTGTGACATCCGCTCTCGTCACGTCAACTCCCACCCTCATCTCAGACCCGTTTGCCAGTCAGACCACCGAACTCGCTCCACACTAAGGCAGGTGTGCGCAATCTGTTTTGGTTCCTGGGACTGACTGCGATGCTGGGTCGAGGGCTGCGCATACACAGAGGCAGACACATGTGCAGGTGCACACGGCCATCTCAGAAATCTACATGAGAATCCCTGGAGACAGTGGAGCTTGCAGGGTGTGGGGCCCCGGCAACGTGCGGGTGCAGCAGGAGGCGGACGTACCTAGCCGGGCACTTTCTTGTCACTGGGTGGGGGAGCTGCTCCTATGGGAAGCGCAGGGTAGCTAACAAAAAGAAAAGTGATGCTCTATTAAGTGACACATGACGCTCGCCTGAACGTAAAGGAAATCACCTCTGTGAGGAAGAGGAGGCCTGCCCAATGGGAACTGAGCCAGGAACTACCAGCACTCGGCTGCAGAGCTGCTGCTGAGTTAGCAAGAGAAAACACCTCCCTGAGCCAGCCAGCTTCTGCGCACAACCAGAGGCAGCAATTGGTCATGGGTGGGGGAGAAGGCGACCTTAGAGAGGCAAGTCCCCCCTTTTAAGAAAATTCTGAGACTGAGGAACATCGGCGGACTGCTACTGGGGGAAGGGAAGGGCCATAAAAATGGGATTGCAAGAGCAACCCGGCAAGTGAAGGTCACCGGGAAGCGGGAGCAGCAGTGCAGAAAATAGCTGGCAACGGTGGGGCTGTCAGGAAGCCGCAGCTGACAGAAAATAGAATGGAGCCAGGTCTGTGGCAGGAGAGGGGAGGAGAGCGAGAGGGGCATGTCTGAACCAGTTACTTTCACAGGCTAAAGCAGCTGAGAGAGAGAGAGAGAGAGAGAGAGACAGAGAGAGAACACCAGCAGTGTCTGAGATCTCAAGAAGAGAGTACAAAGGGTTCAACTCCCACATCACTGCTGACCCCAAGGATGCTTTTTAGGAGCTTGCTGAGAGTGTCAGTAAGAGTTTGGCCGTGGGAGGTTTGCGTTTCAAACTGTGCTTCATCCTGAAACTTGCTCAGCTGGCAATCCTGCACACTTATCAGGGAGTAAGCCCCACTGAACACACCAAGACTTACTTCTGAGAAACTATATAGAGGAATAGTGCTGTCAGTAGCTTTATCTCTCAGCTTTCTCTCTCTCCCCCCCCTCCCTTCCTTTAAAAGGGTACAGGCAGCTCTTAACACCGTCATGTTATGCAACCACACTGGTTGAAAGTTCTCTCTTTAGTACAACTATTAAAGATACAGAAATCCTCTCATCCTTTGCCTATCAGCCACACTAAGACCTTGGAAGTGTGGGAAGAACACTGGGATCAACCTGCAGGTTGCTGGATGACTTTTGGTGGATCGGCCACCATTTCCAAATCCCAATGCCTTAAAAATCGCAACAAGAATGCTCTGTTCCCTTGTTAGACTGTTAGCATTCCTGCTCTGTAGTGACTGGGACACAGATGACTTGTCCATGCAGGTCAATCCCAGTGTAGGGTCCACGGGCCCAGGACATAGTTCTCTTTGACCCCTGAACCACCACTCGGACCCCACTCCAGTCCCAAGCTGCAAATTTGCACTGGCTCCATCTGGTGGGTCTCAAGACTCAAAAAAGGAAAGTAAGAGGAGAACTCACAAGCATGAATTCTAGCCCTGCCTGGCTTAGGCACTGTTGCGTGGCACGGATGCTCTGCTTGACCACTCGGGCCCTATTTCTCTCCATTTCATGCATCAGGCCAGAAATCTGCCTATCACAGACAATGCAGAAAACCCTGAGCAAGTGAGGACAGCCAAGCTCCCAAGCTGCTTCAGTGGAGACGTCTGCTAGAGCTTCACATCCAACACTGGGAGAAGAAATGGTTGCCCCCCAGGCCTCTTCTACACAGTGCACTCAGCCGGGCTGTCCCAGAGTTCTCTCGCATGCAACTGCTGCCACCTGGTGGCCACCAGGCTCCTTAGCAAAGCTTGGCCCCTGCACCACATACCCTGCCTCACACTCAATAGCAGAAAATTTACTTTAGCTTTATCTTGATCACAGTCTGCTCAGCAAATTGGCAGACCAATAAGAACCCAAGCATCGGTTTCCGAAAGAAAGTGCAAGAAGGTATTTATGAGAAGCAATTCCAGCCACTAGAAAAACTCACAGCTAGACAGGTTCAGAAAGCCATCCCCGGCCACAGGCCCTGTGACGCTATTACCACACCATCAGTGTGAGTGGCATTTTACAGAATACAGCAAGGATAGGTCCCTGCCCCAAGCAGCTTCCCCACTACAATCACTCCATTCCATACGCACCGGTGTGCTAGAGACGGAAAAAGCACCCGTTACCAAAAGCCAATTCTGCAGCACACAGTTCTGGAGTTCTTCAGTAAATGCTTAGGAACAGTCAGCCCACTGGTCTGTCAATGCAATATTCTCTACGACGGGGCTCCTCCACCAAGGGCAAGTTCACAGGAGGGCCCTGCAAATCAGCCACACAGAGCAGGCTCCTTGGGGGGCCTGACAGGCTGCCTCCCTGCGGCTTGTCCTCCCACTCCTTCCCCCTTCGCTCCCCTCCAGCGTCTGTGGCAGAACCCTTCTTGTCTCCACCTCCTTGATCACGACACCTGTTTACCAGTTTTGTCATTTTCGTTTCGAGGCCTTCAAAAGGTGTAACGTTTTGGCCCCAGAAAAGTGCACTTTTTCCCTGGACCTTCACTGAACCACACTTGTTTGTTATGTGTTCTGTCTGGTCACTTTCCTTGTATGTTTCAGCCATCAAAGGGAGATGCCATGTCAGTCAGCTACTGCACTTTGAAATACTGGGTATAGACTAAATGACACACATTAGCCTAGTTGTGATGTGAAAACTATCAGAAAAGGAGAGAAAACCAGCATGAATAGCAGCACCAAAAATTGGGGTGACAATCTCTCACACTTAACGTAATCCTCTTCTCAGTGCCCTCCACTTTTCCCCAAGTCTTCAACTATTCCAGAAAGGAAAGTTTTAATTCCCCCCACCCCTTTTTGAGGCTTCTTGTCTTGTTAATCTGTGATCTTTGCTTCTTCCTTTGACAGCTGAAATTGATAGAGCAATTGACCAGAAAAGGCTGAACAAACACAAAGGACTGCACTTGCAAAGGACTGACAAAAATAATAAAAAGTTACAAACACAATTATGCTATTTCCTGGAGCTGGTTTTGACTACTCTCTCTCTGTCTGCTATGAGGGGAGTGCAAACTATTACTATATAGCCAATTGCTTTTCAAGTTGCATTCCTAGCTGTGTTAGTTAAAAATATATATAATAACTTGTTTAGCACAATATGATCTCTCTAAACTGTTCCTCAACCAGATGGACAAAGATTTGCTTCATACAGTTTTTACTATACTACCTTAACTAAATTCATTGTGGACTGTTTTGCTCCCAGTTTGGAAAGCTTATACAGAGGCATCATGGGGAATTTTGTTGGCCAGAATATTAGAGTGGGGACTTTTGTCCACAAGAACAGATCTGTTAAATGGTAGAGGTAAGTACATAAATTTAGAAGTGGCCCAGTTTATTGTTTTATCAGTTAAACTTGCATAGGGTTTCGTGGACATGAATGTAGCAGGTCTGCAGAAGTGAGAAGAACAGCTGCTGACCTCCTCTTTTTGTTTTCAGAGCTCATCTGTCATTACTGAATGCAATGGATATTTTGATTTATTATGAAGGTTTATTGCTAAATAGAACAGCAACAGTTTGGGAGGAAACAGAAGTGAATAAACTATCTGGAAATGGAATTTACACTTCAAGTATCAACAACAAGCTGGGGTCATTTTATTTATTTATTTATAAAATTTGTATGCTGTCCAGTTACTTATGTCTCTGGATGGCTTACAGCATAAATAAATGGATGACCCACTCTGGCTGCAAGTTAATAAAATACAATAATAAAATTCAATATTAAAACATATTAAAATATTGATCAAATAAAAAGGTCTTAACCTGGTGCGAAAAACGTATAATGACGGTGCCAGGCGGACCTCTCTGGGGAGCGCATTCCATAGTTGGGGCGCCATCGCAGAGAAGGCCCTCCTCCGGGTACTCTGTTCAGGTACATTTGCATCAACTACAAAGAAAGTTCTTGATATTCAGGTATGGACTCTGGTTACAATCCTCTCTTGTTCAAGGGTGACTTTGGTCCCTTTCCCTACAGCTGCCCTCCTTTTCCTATAGGGAAAACATCCTCACCTGGCATTGTTGGGGACCACAGCTTACAACAACAATCTCTGAGACGAGCTTCTTCTCCTTAAGGCGCACAGCTTCCTCCACTGCAATCTCACAGAAGGGGTTCATGGAATGCTTTACGCCATCTGTCACCACGCCTGACTTGTCTGGCTTCACCCGTACCTGCAAGAAGACAGCCTGTTAGTCTCAGCCCAGAGACATGCAAAACTGGGGAACCATTATTGATGACAATTCAAATTGTTTGGGGTACAAGAATTCAGCAGCTATGCAGCATGTAAAGCATGGTCAGCCCAGGACAAATGCACCAATGTCAACAGACAAATATGAGACATTTCAATTCATTTAGACATGATAACATATGTAGTCAATAAGGTCTCTCTTCTCTCAGGAGCCACCTTCCCCTGCACCTGGGCCACAGGACCATCTCGGGGAGATGTTTGCATGGATGCCACCCTTTCCTTTTCCTCCACTTCCCAACATTTCTGATGCCAATGCAAAATATCCTGGGCTCTAGGGAAAGTATCTATTAACACTTACTTTCATAGGCAAACTACAGTGCAAGACCACACAAGGGATTATAAGAAATGTTGCACATGGGAACACAAGGATTTATTTATTTAGGACATTTATAGGCCGTCCATCACTATCGTCTCTGGATGGCTTACAATCTAATCTAATCTAAATCCTAAACCAAATAAATTAGCTAAAGGATGCTGTCCAATGACTTCCCTTACCCTAGTGTTTAAAAAAAGGAAATAAAGAGTTAAAACCTAAGCATCGGAATGCATCATCTCTCATACCGAAGCCTCTCCAATGTTTATGGGTTAAAGGGCAGAAGGATAAAAGCTTCTGTTTGCATAAGGTAAACCTGGGATCATGTCAGCTCCTGCATGATGTAAATGCACTATAGCCTGAACAAAGACAGATGTTTGCCCACATTGTTCTAGGGCTTATGTTCAAAAAAGCTACAAAGAGGTTGTACACTGTGCATGCGCACACACACAAGCACACAAAGTTTCCTGCATTCAGAACCTTCTGATAGTGCACTGCACAGGCTCTTGGGTAACTGGGCTCACACTTCTTGCAGGTCACTGCCCAGGGCCACTTCAGATGTTAAGCCCGTCTAGCAGAGAAACCATTCCATACAGGGGGAAACAGTGGCTCAACGGCATCGTGTAGAATCACATCCATAATTAGCACACGTGTTGGGGAATTCCTTCTCAGAAAGCATATATAATTGATGAGACACTGTCACAAATGACAGCTTCTATATGCTTTCTTACATGGAAGTACTTTCTGCATAAGAAAGCCGGCATGTCTGAAGGAGCACCCTGGGAACAATTCGCAGGAACACAGTTGCTCAACAGCTTTGGCTGTGGGGTTGTACAGAAATGAAATAAACAGATGATCAACACAGCCTGTGCAAAGAGAATGGAAACACTGGGCATGTTTGGCCTTGGGAAGGGTGAGGAGAGCTAGGAGAGCATTTTCAAGTATTTGCCAGGTTGTCAGAAAGAGGAAGGCTGGAACCTCTTTAGGATCATCAAGAGTGCAAGACATGGAATAGAGGTTCAAGTTACAGCATCCCAGCTTCTCGCTGAACATCTGGAAAATCTTCCTGGCAGGGCAATACAATTGCCCAATAACCTAAGGAGGTCATGGACCTCCTTCACTAGAGAAATCCAAAAGCAGTGGGAGACCATCTGGTAGGAAAGTGCCAATTAGGAGTCTTCCCCTTCATGGATCACTGCCTTGCTGTGGCAAAGGGGCTTGTGTAGCACAATGAAGCTATGAGCTATGCCATGCAGGGGCATCCAAGACAGCCAGGTCATAGCAGAGAGCTCTGACACAAGGTGATCCACTGGAGAAGGAAATGGCAACCCACTCCAGTATCCTTGCCAGGAAAACCCCATGGACAGTGCCAAAAGACAAAAGGATATGACACCGGAAGATGAGCCCCTCAGGTCGGAAGGTGTCCAATATGCTACTGGGGAAGAGCAGAGGGCTAGCACTAGTAGTGCCAGAAAGAATGAAGCAACTGGGTCAAAGCCAAAAGGACACTCAGTTGCGGATGTATCTGGTGGTGAAAGGACAGTCCGATGCTGCAAAGATCTATACTCCATAGGAACCTGGAATGTAAGATCCATGAATCAAGGCAAGCTGGATGTGGTCAAACAAGAGATGACAAGATGAACATTGACATCTTAGGAATCAGTGAGCTAAAATGGACAGGAATGGGTGAATTTAATTCAGACGACCATCAGGTATACTACTGTGGGCAAGAATTCCTCAGAAGAAATGGAGTAGCCTTCATAGTCAATAAGAGTAGAAAAAGCAGTTGTTGTTGTTGTTAGTTGCGAAGTTGTGTCTGACCCATCGCAACCCCATGGACAACATTCCTCCAGGCTCTCCTGTCCTCCACCATCCCCTGGAGTCCACTCAAGCTCACACCAACTGCTTCAGTGACTCCATCTAGTCACCTCATCCTCTGCCATCCCCTTCTTCTTTTGCCATCTATTGTTCCCAGCATCAGGCTCTTCTCCAGGGAGTTCTTCCTTCTCACTAGGTGGCCAAAGTATTTGAGTTTCATCTTCAGGATCTGGCCTTCTGAAGAGCAGTCAGGGCTGATCTCCTCTAGGACTGACCGGTTTGATTGCCTTGCAGTCCAAGGGTCTCGCAGGAGTCTCCTCCAGCACCACAATTCAAAGGCCTCAATCCTTTGGCACTCAGTCTTCCTTATGGTCCAGCTTTCACAGCCATACATTGCAACCGGGAAAACCATAGCCTTGACTATACGCACTTTTGTTGGCAGAGTGATGTGTCTGCTTTTTAATATGCTGTCTAGATTTGCCATAGCTTTCCTCCCCAGGAGCAAGCGTTTTTTAATTTCTTGGCTGCAGTCCCTGTCTGCAGTGATCTTGGAGTTCAGGAAAATAAAATCTGTCACTACCTCCATTTCTTCCCCCTCTATTTGCTAGGAAGTGAGAGGACTGGATGCCATGAACTTAGTTTTCTTAATGTTGAGTTTCAAGCCAACTTTTGCACTCTCCTCCTTCACCCTCATCAAGAGGCTCTTTAGTTCCTCTTCACTTTCTGCCATGAGAGTGGTATCATCTGCTTATCTGAGGTTGTTGATATTTCTCCCAGCAATCCTGGGATACAATCTCCAAAATGACAGAATGATCTCAGTTCGAATCCAAGGCAAACCATCCAACATCACGGTAGTCCAAGTTTATGCCCCAACCACTGGTGCTGAAGCAGCTGAAGTTGACCAGTTCTATGAAGGCCTACAACACTTTCTGGAAATAACACCAAAAAAATCTTTATCACAAAGGATAATATAATAAAGGAAAGATCCCCACTATACGGAAAATAAGCCTAAGGCTATGAAAAATTCTCCATAGTCATTTGCAGATACAGTTGGAATTCAGACATCCATGTCCAACTCTGAACTCCTGTATCCTGAATTTTAAAATGAACTAGAGAATACAAACAGCTGGTGACACGGAACAGGCTCTGATGTTCCGTGGTGTCATAATTATGAGGTGCCTATTATGATGGGGGAGATTATCCTCGAGCAAGGAAGTTGAGACACGTGTGATAGCGCAACGTGTGAGTGCTCAAAGAAGCGTGTCCAGCCCGCCACACACGGGGTCATTCCAAAGTGCGACGAACTTGTCAGGGAGACGGGCGGGGAGCCTGAATGAGGCCACCAGCGAGCACGAAGGAGAGGCTTTTCGACCTCGCGGAGTCACCCCGGAAAGGAGAGGACCCAGGCGTCCGAGGAGCAGCCCCCGCCCACCCCCAGCCGCCCCGCACACACCTTCACAGCGTAGTCAATGACCCGCTTCACTCCCACCATCGCCCTTAGCCCGGCCGCCGCCATCTTGCCTGCTCTCCGTTGGCCACCCGCCCAGCTGGTGTACGCCCACCAGATGCTCTCAACCAATCGAAAGAGGGCACATGGGCCAAGCCGGTATTCCATAGGCTGACCTTAAGCCGTCCTCCGTAGGGTATTGTTGAGCCATTTCACCAGGCGCCCAATGAGAAGTTGGGCTCGGATTTTGCCAAGCCAATCAAGCGATGCGATAGGAGGGTCGTAAAAGAAAGGGCGGGCACAAGCGGTTTTCGCTGCCATTTGAAGATTGACGTGCACTTTAGCCAGTCAGAAGATTGGAAGGCACAGTGAGAGGATGACTTTCTCGGAGGAAAGACAAAGGGAGGAGGAGGAGAAAAATAATGCATTGGCCGTGACGTCCGTGACCTTAGACCAATCAGCGTCGCCCGATGCTTGCCCCACCTCCTAAGCATAGCAAATGAGAGCGTAGCAAATTCTTCAGGTCTGTGCAGCACGGGAGCCTTGTCGAAGTTGCACTGACTTTGGCAGGGAGGCGGGACACCCATGCAGGGAATGTGGGTGAAAGGGCAAGAAGCGTGTCGGGGTTTACCCGCTCAGACGATGCGCGTGCACGGTGACTGACACGCGTGTTCTATACTCACAACCAATATAGACCCCATTCTGCTCGGCTGGCCGTTGTGATCAAAGTGCACACGAGAGTTTTCGACTCGAGTCAGCAAGGAAATCCCATCATCGCGCGAGCTTCCTCTGCCGCTATCCATGAAGTCCGTTCAAAGGCAAAACCCAAAACACCATCATTAACAATCACAGTGAATGGCCAACATCAGGGCAGTACCTCCCATAAATCAATATAGCGACCTTCCACCATACAGAGCCCCGTCGATCGATTCGTTCAATTCTATGCCATTCTTAGACAAAACCAGTCAGGGCACCTGTATATTGCAAAGGTTGCTTACCATCCTAGAAGAGGCGTTCTTTCCTTATGTACACAGGAGAAAGGATTCCTCTTCTAGGATGTGTATGTTCTTCATTAAAAAAATAAATAGGGACTTTATCTGCATGCAAATTTAAGTAGAATTAATTGAATAAAATCCATCCAGTCAAACAACGTAGGCTGGGTCCAGACAGTTTCTAGCACTACCAGGCAGAAGTCACAGATTGCTGAGATAACAAGACAGAAGCAATGAGAAAAACACATCTGGACCCCCTGTAAAATTGGGCTTAATCATGAGCAGAAGGGAGCAGGACTGCTGTATAAGATTCCTTTACTCAGCTGACAGTCACACACATAATAGAAAAAAATTCTCCCTTTTTAAATTGCTTAGACTGGTAATAGACATATGTGAATAGTTCATTTTTTGGTTAATTCTCCATAATGTTTTCTTGTACAGCACTCTTTGTACAATTGTCTGATTTATTTCTGATGTTGCAAAGTGATTATGGGATGCGTGCATGCAAATCACAATATTTAACAATAGTACTACATGCTTTATTCATTGCACCCCAAAGGCAGGAGTCATGGCTCTCCATCAGACAAAATCCACAATCTGCTGGATTTCACAGTTTGGAGAAAGTGAGTGCTGTCTGGGTTTTCACGCAGCACCGACACCAGAAGCTCAGGAATGAATGTGGCTGCAATGTTTAGTCATATGCCTGGTCTCTGATCTTTTTGTTTATTGCTCATTTTCCCATCACTGTGCCTAATGATAATGGTTTAATTCTGGAATCCCCAGTGTGGTGTCTCCTGGGCTCCTTGGCCACCAGGTGCTCATTTTATTTTGTAATATAGCTATGGGAGCCCCTCCTGCCACCATGGCAGCCATTTGAAAAGGTTGTCCATAAGACTCCATCAAAATTCCAATTCTAAACACATACTTAGATGGCGCTGGCATCATTTGCTCATGACCTTATCTTTCAGTTGACTGCTATGACAGTAGTTTGCGGTGATGTCCAAACTTTTTTAAAAAAATATATGATTAGCATTTGGCTTCCAAACCAGAATTGGAAACCCACTTCCAAATGGTAAGGAAGGTACATAAAACAGTGACATAAGACTGCCCATTAAAGTAATTTATTAATATCCATTTCTAATGTTAAAAAAGAGGGGAGAAACCCAACAACAACAGGAACAACAACATAGGAAGCTCAGAGGAAGGGGGTGTTGCACGGCTCTGCAGGGTAGCTTTTTCTTGCTTTCCTTGCCCAAATGACATCGCTGTGTCCTGCCTTCATGTTCAGCCTGGAGAAAGCTGATGGTGCCACTGCGCGTGGAGATATCACATGGCCTGGTCTAGGCTGTTTTCCGAGTCAGTCGGTGTTGCCCACTCCTCTTCTAATATGAGTGCAGTTTTGCTTGCCCAAAGCATGCTGGCTATTTCGTCCTCCTCCCACCGCTTTGCCACAAATTGGCAAACTCCTACAAGAGGTGGGGGGGGGGGGAGAGAGCGAGAGCTCATCAATCTATTAATCTGTTGTCTACCATTTTCTCTCTGATTTCCATCAGGTGGTGCTGAACCCTTGGTAACTCACTGCGATGAGTTTGCTCAGAACTTTGAAGATAAATTCATTCACATTTTAAGAACATAAGAAGAGCCGTCCTCAAACAGATAATGACCCATTTCATCTGGCATTGTGTTCACACAGTGGCCAACCCAGAAGCAGGATGTGAGCTAACAGCAGCCCCCTGTGCCTATTCCCTAGGAACTGGTGTACACAGGCACCCTTCCTCTGACCTTGGAGGCAGCCCAGAGCTATCAGGATAACCTTCTCTTCCACTAATCTGCCCACTCCGTTTTTAAAGCTATCCAAGTTGGGAGCCATTGCTACATCCCGTGTGAATGAGGGTATGAAGGTCTTCCTTCTGTCTGTCCTGACTTGCCTACCCATCAGCAATATGGAATTAGTCCTAGCATTATGAGAGAGGGATAGCAACGTCCCCTTCTCCACTTTCAATGCACCATGTGTAATTTTGTACACCTCAGCCTGTCTCTGGTACTTATCTTTCTTCATAAGGTTGTAACCTCACCCAATGGGAGGAGCTTCCGTTCCCTGAATACATTAGTTGCCCTTTTCTGCACTTTTCCTAGCTCTGTAATAGAGTATTCTAAATGTGGGTGAGCCATAGATTTGAAAAATAGGTGTGTGGTATTGGCAATATTTTCAGTTCCTTTCCTAATGATACCTAACACAGAATTTGCCCTTTCACCAGCAGCTGTGCACGGGCTCAGCTTTTTCATAAAGCCGAACACCACAACCTCAGAAGGTTTTCTTGGTGAGGAAGTGATACCTGGGAACCCATCTGCCTGGACCTGAAGCTGGGACTTTTTGCCACGCGGCATCCGTTTGCGCTTCCCTAGCGAAGGGGATGACAAGTTACTTGACAAGAGCAGAATATGCCTTTGCAGGGCTATGTTCAGAAGTGGTGTATGTGGAGAGAATGAGATGGAGAAGGGGGAAATCATGAACAGGAGACCTTGCGCAATATTACCAATAAAAACGTCTGCTAAAAATATGGCACCAGTTGCACAAAGGTCCTGATCTCCCCAACCTTGTGCAAACTCAAATTTGCCAAAAGGCAAAACCTGAAAACCAGTGTAAACTTTTTTTCTGGAATGGGAAACAAAATCCCCCCAGGTGACCCACTCTTAGGGGAATGGAAATGGCATTCGATGGCACTCAATGGGTTCACATGGAGCAGAATTCTTAGTGTCACACGTGGCTAAACTTGTCCCTCCTCATCCTCCTTGCCCTGCTGTTTGGCTGCTTCTCACTCTGGTCCAGACATGGTGAGAAGGGCAAGCTTTTGCTCTCTGCCTGTCCAGCAAGCAAGCAGCAGCCTCGAAGAAGAAGAGGATGAGGAGCACTTGAGGTAGGAGATGATGGGATGGAGAAAGGAGACTTGCTGAGGGAGGGGCCGGCTCAGTGGTGCTCAGAATCCACCACCAGCCATGAGGAGGATCTGACATTCTTAGGGAGCTGCCAGGGACTGTCCATCCCAGCCAGACCTCCTGCTGAGGCCTGCCCTAAATAAGCAACCCTCGGGGTTCACTTGGCCACCACTTAAACCCCCACAAAGCCCCTGACATGGCACCGTCCTCGTCCATTGTGGGAAATTTGCATGTTGGCATCCATATCCCATGCAGATCCTCTCCGCTGCTCCCTGGAGAACTGTGGCCACCAGCCAAGCAAGCCCAATGGGGGGCACACCTGCACAACCCCCCTTGGCAAGAGCCACCCTCAAACCTGAACCGGTCCTACTCTACTCCCGCCTCCTCTGCACCGCTGCTTCATGATTGGCTCCTGGGCTGGTCTGCTGTTTTCCGCTTGTTGATACCTCCCCAACATTTCACAAGGGGCTATAGGGAAACACTTATGGCATCCCAGTCCTTACGTCAAGGGCCATCACAAAACCTCTTTTCCTCCTCTACCAAACAATGCTCACAAATGGAGCAAGTCTCTGCTCCACTTGGGAACTGTCTGGTAATGATAGCCCTGTCTCCAGGGGACTAAAAAACGAGAGGGCGGTGGTTCTTTTAGTGGAAGACCTATCTGAGCAACTCACTCGCTTTGTCCCTGCAATATCCTTCTGCTCCTGGCTGGGTGGGTGTGTCGCCTGGAGACCCTGGAGGAGGGGCTGAGGCACCCGTGCCAGCCCAGCACACCAAGGGAGGGCTTGTGAATGCATGACACGCGATCGGTGTCGCCTCCCTTGTCCCCTCCCACACCCACGCCCAGCCCAGTGAGCTGCCGCCGCTAGAAGGCTGCATCCCAACCTGGCTGCTGGCACGGGCCCCCCGGCGTGCTGACCTTTTCGGCACCATCCTCAGGACCCACCACCATCGCTACCATCTGCTGGCTGGATTGGAAGGGTGGCTCAGGCGGACCCTGGCCGGTGGGGTCCTGCTGGTTTGCGGGCTCCTGGCAGGCGCTGATCCTGCCCCTGACACAGGCCCTCGGGGCGCTCCAAGGGCTGCTGCCTCAGCTTTTCCCCAGGGTGCCGCGTTCGGAGCAGCGGGGGTGGGGGGATGCTGCTTGCAGTGATCTAGCATGCCCCGAGCCT